CAGAATGGCATAAAAGAACTGCGTTGGAAAGGAAAACTGAATTTAGTAAGTGCAACTTCTTGTTAAAGTTCTTGAATTACGTTAATTTTTTTTATTTTATTTTTATCCTGGCAGATAAGAACACAAAGGACATAAAACAAGATTTCCAAATTAAACTTGGACTTTATATGTATGGAAGGAGCAAATTAAGGAGCTTACTGGCTTCTGCTTTCCTTCCAGACTGTGACAGATTCCTCACTTGATGTGAACAGAACATCTGCTCCCTGTCCAGAATCCCTCTGCATTTAATTTGATTGTGATTCATGTTTTGCAGAGGACTCAAAAGCTTTTGCAATAATAGCATCTTCCTGAAACTGCTGAACTCTATTTTGGCAGGTATTATGGGAAGGCAAAATAAAAACATGTTCCATGGCTCAAAGAGTCAACTGTATGTCACACCATGGACACCAGGGCTGGGAGATAAACGAGATGAAGTGATGAGCTGGAGGAAGCAGAGATAATGTTGCTCAAATGAGACTAACATTATGAAAAAGCAGAGTGTAGAGAGGTATTTGCAGAAGGATAAAAGGTGGATGGAAGGAAGGTCTTCTGGCAGTTTGGGAATTCTGGGGTGGATGCTGATTCTACAACCATCACAGTGGCTGCACTGGGAGCTGCTCACGTGCACAGCAAGAACCATTTCTATTTGAAGTATCTTCTAGATTTTCCCAGTTTTCTTATTACTCTCTGTCTGACATTGCCTGAAGTCTCTCTCTACCATTTTGTTTTTTAATGCCAAGTTCTCTTACAGTTTGTGAGCATCAGTTCTTTCCAGCTGGTCTTGGTGCTCCCAGGGATGCCCAACATTTGTCTTGTCCCTCATGTTGCAGTTGTAAATGCTCATGTGCTGTTATTTCCCTGGATGTTCAGCTGAAAGAGATGGAGTGGTTTCATTTCCTGTTTGCTTTCACCTTGACTTCCCTCTGAATGCTCTTGGTAGATGTATTCATTAAGAATGCACTCATGAGCAAATATAAATAAATGATATGGAAAGAAATATCCATCTTCTGCTTCTAGAGATCATCATGTTACATGTTTTGTAGCTGACCTGGCAGGATATTGAAATAAATCCATTTTTTTCCCCCCAAGTTTCATTCAAATGTGTATTGGAATCCAGAAAATCTGATTTGTTGGTAGTGTTGTGAAATCAATCAAATAATTTTTTTTTAATATTGATATTTTAATGTGTTCTCTTTCTGAAACATTCATGGAGACACTAAAAACTTCCCCCCTTTTTTATTCAACAGTATCTTCAGTGAAGTGCTTTCAAAGCAATGAGCAAAGGCAAAGAAAAGCATTGAGGCTCTTTGTAGAAAAAAAAAATCTTTCATTCTTTGTGTCACAATCACACAAATTCACTAAAACAAAATTCGTACTGAAAACAGGCAATGAGGAAACCCACACAAAATCACACAAACCAAACTCCAGCCCAGGTGTCCTGTATTATCTTTTAAGGACAGCCTTAGGAAGATAATTAGTGTTATTCTAATTAGTGCGATGAAGACAGTATAAGTGCCTAGACAAAAGAATAATAGAATATTTCTATGCAATGTAAGCCACTGGAGCAGTTTTTTTTTTGAGCTCCAGAACTACATTCCTTTGTTCTAATGTGGAAATCATACAACGTGAACCTGAATATACAAAGAGTACCAGATTTCTGATTTCAGCAGATTTGGTCTGATAGAGACTGTTTCATTAGTTTTCAGCTTTTGGAAGCTCTCTTTGTATCCTGATTGGGAACCTCCTCTTGCATGAATCACACAACCAAAAGCCCCAGTGGTACAACACAAATCTGTGTGTGATAGGGAGAAAGGGACTGCAGTTAAACTGTATCAGCTTTTATTACTAGTATTATTAATTGCTATTAATATCGTGTGCTGACCTACTCTAATCCCTGTTCTGCTGCTTATTTGGTATTATTCAGCATTCTAGAATATCAAAAAATCTATATCGTCTTCAAACAGGCTGGTACTGTTATAAATTGGTCTTTTTCTTTATAGAAAGAGGCAGACAACAGGATCATTCAGAGCTGTTCCACACATTATTTTTTGCACTGTGTGCATGATGCTTGATTAAAATAGAAGCTTAGTCCATTTATTAAAGTTCTGTTCAGCAGAAATATAATGTATAATACAGACACTCTGCTCCTTTTGACTTGTTTAGCAGAAATGTAGCTGAATAGTGCAGATCAGGGCAAAGATGCACAAAAAGCAATGCACAGTTTAATAATCTTAACTTGCTGAGGCACTTCAGTCTGCGATGTGTAAATCCAGCTAATGCAAATACTGACTGTTTCTATAAATTTAAGGGTAAAAGCTGCATGGATCTAGTGGAATCAGGCTGGGTCTGTGAGTTATTATAAATTGAAAATTACATAGAAAATCCAAGCTCTCCTACATGCTGATTTTTTTTTTTAATCAATAGAGTTAAGCTGAAATTGAATACTGTGAACATTATTTAAAAAATAATATTAGAAAACTTTCAGTTGCAAAGAATGTGCTGTATTATTTTCCTGTGTAAAGGATGCTTTAAGTTGAAAATATACATATTAATTTTAAATTGCTTTTTATTCTCAGTTGAAGTTGAAAGATACTTACCATCACCTCTGGAAAATTGTGTGAAAATGATGCCCTTCACATAAAATGAAACTAATTGAATATACAATTCAAACCCAAGGGGTGCAACCAACATCCCGTTGTCTTAGGATTCTATGTGCCTTTCTCACTTTTGTTTTATAATATTGGGGACAAATTAAATTTCATATATTTCATGTTTAAACAAAGCTGCACCTTCTCCATAATTTGGAGGTAAATAGAAACACTTGACTGAAAACAGGTAGTTATGCCTACCCTGTTACTAGAAAGCCATGAGAGCCGCTGGAAGTGTCTTCTACCACCAGTTAATTGACAAAACAAGTCTATGTATTTCCCTTTACATTTCTTTATTAACTCATCAGGAACAAAAAATGCTTCTCTGGAATATGGCAGTGCTTAAGGATGAAAGCTGAAGCGACATATTAGTCCCTATTTTTATGAGTGCTTCAGTTGCAATTGTCTTCTCTGTGGAAGTTCTCAAATCCTCAGGCAGAGGGAGAGGGAGCCACGAGCTGGCACTAAAAGCACACCCGGGGAGCTCGGTGCCTCTCACCCCGTTTTCAGTTAGTGTCTGTAGGTGTTAGCAGTGTGTGTGTGGTGTCCCAGGAGCAGCCTCATCCTACATCATTTAAGTAGGGAAGGGTCTCTGATGAGAGCAGATGGCATGGGCACTAATGTCTCTTCTGCTCTTCTGGCTTCTCAGCATCTGCCTCGAGTTTCGGACCATGGCTGTGGTTCCCAGAAACACAGTCATTAAGGTCTGTTTTCATTAGTGTGGAAAGCAAGAGTGGAAAACTGCTTTCTTCTGCTTAGAGTATAACAGAGCTAATGGAACCAACTCTAAAAGACAAAGGACTTTTTTTTATTGCTGTTGGAGAAACGTTTTGCTCTCAAACGGAGTTCTGTGATTTTTTTTCTTACTTATGTAACCTCAATAAAAGCCATGACAAGATGAAGCTCTTGTGACAGTCCTTCTGTGCTCAACATGCCCAAATAAATGAGGCAGTGGAGGGGGCATCTCTGACAAGGCAGTGTCCCCTCAGCCCTGTAGCCAACAGCAGGCCCTTAGTGTGCTCTTGTAACACCAGATCTCTCTCTTACACGATGTTTACTGTCAAAACCCATCCAAGTGTTTGGAGGAGAGACTGAGCTGGTGTCTTGTCTCAGAATATGATAGTTTTGAGAATCTGTGAGGGCTTTGAAGCCCCACCAAATCTAAATATGTTCTTCCAGTTGCTTAAAAAGTAGGTGCATCTTCAAGGTCGTGATAATATTAAATTGTTCCTTTAAAGCTCTGTAATTGTTAGTGTAAAAGATACCTTTATCCAGAAAGATGTAAAAAAGCTCAAGTATTTTACTGGAGTTGAGAGGGCACTTCATACAAAACATGGGTGATTTACAGGACATGGATAAGTGCTACATTGCACTAGGAGAGGATTGGCTACAGAAAAATGCAGTGTGCAATTTTGTGTTGAGGCAATAAATCCAGGAAATATAAATTTTTATCTCTGAGTTCTGAAACATTTATCACTAGGAGCTTTTTCTTTTTAGCCAGAGGAGATGTAAATTTGTGAAAATCAAGTAAACTGGAGTCCTACTCATCTTGTTAATTCTACTTCTGAATTTTCTTTTCTCTTTTTCCCAATAACAAAAGTAAGTTTACACTAGTCTTTGTGCGTTACAGCTCATTTCTCCCCTGCAGATACCTTGTGGGAAGCTCAAAATAGAACAATGGAGAAATAATGAAGGTAAAATGTCAGTTTGCCTGCATACTGAAAATATAATCAGTGCAATTTGTCAGGCTCATCTGCCCTTACCTAGGAAAAACATTGATAGAGATTCATCCTTATGAGTCCTTAGGTTAATGCTTAGGGTTCCTTTTCTTCCAGAATTCTTTGCTAATAAATATAATTTGCATGCTACTCATTACACTGCAATTTGTGATTCCTTGTAACCACCCTATAAAAAGTCTGTGTTCTGACCCTTCTTGTGTTTGCAGACCTCCTCTTAGGTGTTCCTGGGTGTTGTGGAAGTTGGTAGCTGTGCTTCAGAGAGCTGAGTACCAAGTCCTTCCTACCAGCACAAACTCAGAACTTTGGAGGCCTGAATTAGATGTGCTTCACATAAGTCATGTCCACATAGAATTTACAGTGAAAGTTGGACCATATACCAACAGACATAAACATGATATACTTGAATGTGACCTTTAAGCTGCTTCTCCAGGTTTCTACCTGCTGCAGAGCTGAGTAAACAAAGGAGAATATTTACACTCAGCAACTTTTTGAAGATAACTTCTATTATTCTCAAATCCCAATGACATGCATCTCTTTTAGATGAATTAATTTCTGCAACTTTTATATTGTCTAGCCTATTCCTGGCTACAGAATGAAACTATTGACCTTGACTCAAGAAATCCATAAAGACAGAAGGAATCAATTTAAAAAATAAAGTGCTTGTGAAGGAGGTAAGTTGGCTCTAACACTTTGAACTATGTGGGCTTGATCATTACTGCAATGCTTTCTAACCCTGTTAGCACCTCTGCCTTGCTGATGTTTTCATTTTGACCTAAATACATAAAAACCCAGTCATATTTCTTGTTATTATGTATTACAAGTTGGTGTAATATGGCTGTACAGTGAAAAGTCATTAGGTCTGCAGATAAACCGAATTTTTCTTGGCTGATCAAGAAACACATAAATCAGTCACACCTTTCTGATCCCTTCTTTTCCATGTATTTTCATCCTTCTTCAAACTGTAGTTTCTGTGCTTTAATATCAATTACACTGTAAAAGAATGAATTAGAAAGGGAATTTAAAAATGTAGTTGTTTCTCTTCTTAATTTTAAACTTTATCTTGGAAAATCCCTTCTGCCATGAAGCCATGTGCCCCAAAAGATGGATCAAAGAAACGAAAATAATGACTTTTTTGTGGTGGGATTTTAGTGGATAAATCTCGCCCAAGCACTCTTGAGACTTTCACAAGATTAAAATACACATTTGTAGAGCAATGATGTTAACAAACCAGCGTCCTAGTGCTGCATCCAAGAGCTGCTGATAGAGTGCTCTGAATTATTTAAAGTATAAGTGTTCAAAGATGCCTGTTCAGACTCCTCACAGACTCAAATTTGGTGTTGTTGCTGCTGCTGCTGCTCTTCTTTTGTGTGGGTTTTTTTTCCCAGTAGATTATTTCAAAGGACATTTATATTAACTGCATAAATCTCACTGTGCTCCCACGAGCTGTGTTTTATGGTTGCATTGTATTTGCAGAGGATTGGGGCACATGGAGGTCACCGGTGTGACCCTTTGAAGCAACTTCCATTGAGGTTCAGTTGGCATCACACCCTGCAGGGAGGCTGCAGCACGTGGTGAGGACAAAGCCACAAATGACTCATATCCCTAAGGAATGGGAAGGTAGCCCAGCACCCACTTAAGAAAAATGCTCCTTGGAGCCTTTTCACAGTTAAAATCAAGTCACTGTGTTCTTGCTCGCTTCTGTAGCAAGAAGTTCAGATGACTTCAGTGGGACCAGTGTGACAGAAAACAGTACTTTAGGATTGTGGCCCTCACAGGTATCCCACAGTTGTCTGTATCCAGGCATTTGTAGCGGTACCACAATTTACCAGGTTGTTGTATTTCTGTTGAGTGATGAATTTCAGAGGCAAAAGGAAAAGCTGTGTATAGCAGATGCTGTCCTGATGGCTCATGTTGGCTTTTTGTTTGGGCTTCTCAGTAGAAGAGAAACAGGAAACTTATGTTTTTTCCCTTCAGGAAGGACTCCTTCTGTCCAAGTTTTTAATTCTGCCTCTAAACTACGGGATGGAAAGGCAAATACACATTCTGAAATGGCTGAATGAATGCCTCATGCCATAGGAGCACACAGCTGGAGCAGCCCTCAAGTGACTCCTCCCTTGAACCCTTCACTCTTGTTAAGGACTAATGTGAGTAGGTGAAACTTGGGAAGTACTTCAAGTGTTGGCAGGGAGACCAACAATAACCCTTCTGTAATGATGTCTGAACTCCAGTGCTGAGTAAGTGACAGATTTGGCTTCCCTGAGCGTGGATGTGTTTTTAGAATGAGATTCAGATGGGCTGTTATTTCAGGATCCACTTGAGCAAAATTTGCAGCTGCTAAAGAGATCTTAATGCAAATGAGTCACATTCCTACCTATATTGTAACAGCACAGGATGCCCTTCCAATTTGTGACAACTGTGTGCACACAAATGAGGACTATTGCCATCATAAAGAACTCTCAGCCCAATAACTGATCCATAACCAGGTTATGATAGAAGAGAGGACCCCCATACACCCGTGGGTGTCACATTGTACCACATTTTCTACATTTATCTGTGCCAGGGAACCCTTCTTCACTCCCTTGGCTCAATCTGTTGTGTGATTAATCAAGTAATGTCTCACCTGTATGGGAATAATCACAAACACTGTGAAAGGATGAAAGCCATTGTGCTGGTGTCAAACTGATGGCAAGAAATTTTGGAGTGATTGCCAGAATTGTAATAATTTCAGCCATTTCAAAAGAGCTTAAAGTAGTTGTTAAAAAGAATGTGCCTCATCATCCTGGGAAATAGAGGCATTCTTGGCCTTCAGTCAGGTGTTCTTCAGAGGCAGTGACACATTTATGTGATTATAACGACAAATGACTTTTCTGTCCTGCTCTGTTTGTATAATAGATGAGGTGTGTGTATGCTGTTTAGGATGGAAGGAATAAGGGAGGATGGAATATTTACATTTCAAATATAGGAAATTGTAAAATTTCCTCATTAACGAAAAAAAACCCAAACAAGCCCATCAAATGTCAGAAAATCAAATTAGGATTTTAACTTCAAAGGTATAAGTCTCAGGCAGGACCTTGATTCAGACTTGGGCAAATGTAGCTGTTCCATTTCTTGGCCAACCTGAGGCTTAAGAATTCCTGTTGGAGCTGTTATGTGTCTGTTTTCTGCTGATTTTGTCAGTCTACTCAAAGGACAGGTGAAGCTTTTCTGAAGCCAGTTGATACAGGTCCAAAACCTACCGTCAGCTAAACTGGTCCAAATCATATTTGATCAGATAAAAAAAACCCGAGAGCAGAATTTGGCCCAACGTATTTCACAAGTGCAGCACAATGTTACACATACAGATCTCTTGATGTTCTTGCTGACTCTGCTGGCAGTGCTAATGAAATTATGAGTTGAAATCACTGCTGGAATTAGTCATCTGGATGTGTTTCCTTTGCTGTATCTATTTCACAAAAGAGTTTTACATTTTTGAAGTGAAAAGAACAGTTCAATTAAGTGTTTAATAGCCCCAGCTGCCCTCCAAAATTAGTTCAAAGACTGTAATAGGAAAGAAAAAAAAAGCTGAAATTGAAGGATTCTTCAATGTTATACATTTAAATTTTGATTTACTAACTTGGCAGTCAGTGTTTACCAATTAAAAACATAGATAGGGTTTTTTCATCTTCTCCAAATGACAATAGTGTTGTTCCTTAGCTGGTCTGTGTTGTCAGCCTGTGCCAAGCACTGGCTCTGCCACAGCCAGGGAACTTGCCTTTGCACCTGTCAAGGCCCAATCTGGGAAGTGGTGCACGATAAAGAGTCAAAGTGACAGCCCAAAATTGTTCATACAGTAACCCTTTAAGTGCTTGGAGAGACTTTTCTTTCACGTTTTAACTGTACATTTTCAATTGCAAAAGCCTTGTTCTCTGCACCAAACAATTTTCAGCACCAAAATCAAAGGAATTCTAAGTTTGTCAGTAAACCCTGACATTCAAGGGCTGAAGATCCTCAGAGCAAGGCACACTGAAGAGTTATATCACTGGGAGATTTTCCATTGGATTCATATTGTAAGAGATGGATTAATCTTTCAAAGATCAAATGATCTGGAAATACAGATGTCATCATTGGATTTCTGTTTCTTTTTATGAAGTGGACTGGCCTGGATGTGGCCCTGGGCAACCTGCTGGAGTGGAGGGACCCCCATCCCAGAGGAGCTGGCCAGCCTCAGCTGCTGTGGGATTCTGTGCATTCGACAGGATTTACATCCCATTTATACACGGCCAGTGGACCGAATAAAATGAATACTCTGGAATAACTCTGTCCTTAAACTACGTATTACAGGTTTATGAGTTAATATAAATAGATGCAACAGGAAGGATGATTCATCTTCACCCCCCTAAGAAACTGTAATAGCTTACACCAGAGAGATTGTCAGTGTAGGATAAACGATTTGCCATATTGGTACCTAGTTCTTAGCACTTATCAACTCCCTTTGCAGCAAAGAAACAAATGCTGAAAGTCTAAAATGGCACTTTGCTTAGTATCAGAATTAAGCTTTTGTGCCTTTAGGTGGAAATAATTGGTATCATTTTATGATACTCAAAAATTAATAAGAATGGAATCTTTTTGCTCTCAGGAAATTTATCTTGTTTTTATCATCAGAACAGTGAAAATTGAGAAAGAATAATCTCCATTGTCAAAAAATATTTCTATATACATAAGTTAGGAATACAGTGCTAATTAACAATGGTAAAATTAGATTAATTTTATACTACTAATGTGCTAGTCATTTTGGTAATATTCAGACAATAGTTCAGGATACATGCTGAGAAAGAATATGTTCTTAAATGCTGCCTATTAAATGAGTCAAATAAGTGAAACCATTGTTATATTGCAGAAAATCACTCATGTCAAGGGCATGGAGGGATAATATAATAAAAGGACAAGAAGAGCTGACTGGATTTTTAGATGCCAAAGTAACTTTTATATGTGAAGTTACAAACTCAAATGGACTTGCTGCACAACCCCTTCAATCTCAGTTCTGCTAAAGTTTTGATAGAAAAACCTTTTCCAATGTAACTTAAAATGCTGATTTTTCCCTCTTGTTGACAATAGTATATGATTATGCACAATTTGTGACTAACACCTCTAGTGACTCCCTGTTGAATGGATTTTTCATACAAATGCAGGAGGACAATAATTTTAAAAGAACAGCGTTTTCAATAGACTATGGTGAAGCCTGTTAAACACTACAGGAAAGCCTTACTTTTTCTTTTTTTGACTACATGACTCTCCATTCTAGTTCTGGTTTGTGTCTTAAAAAAAGATATTACTTTTACTTAAGCAGTACTAATGAAACCCCAAAGCAATACTATTTTGCATATGGCAAAGCTAACCCTTATTATATTTGTATTAGACATCAATTATGTATAAAATACATTTGAATACAATATCCCCCCATTAATTTATCTTCCACTTCCAGCAGAACTAAGTATATTCAATAAATCCGATTCCTAGTCTTTGTCTTGCAGCTAAAAAAAAGAAGTGGTATAGAAGGCTACATGCATATGGGGAAAGTCAAGACCTTTTACTTGTTTAATTTTTGCTACTTTTATAACCTTTTAGGTTGGAAGTTATTCTTGTGTTCATCATCTAAGTTTTTAATATAAATACCCCCCTCTGTAAATAATGCTGTTACACTATCTCCTCTTGAATGACCTCTCCTTAATGCTGTCCAGAAAGGTATTTCATTTATAATTATATAAGAACATTGATTTTTTTGTTACTTTTTGAGTTATTCTCTTGCTAATAGGTCAAGTCTATGTTCCTTCATATGCAGAAGATATGCAAAAAGGCTACAAGACCTGCTGCACAGTTTTATCAATAAAGCAATTAATATTTGAGTAAAATAATTGTGATGTCTATTTTTCTGCAGACTGTAGGATGGCAGCAATCTGTGATGGATCCAGTGTCCTGGAATAATCTCTTATCTTCCATTTGACTGGTGTTGGAGGTGCAAAGAAAGAACTGAGAGTCCTGCAGGAGAATACATCAAGTAAAAGAGCAGCTTCTGCTGGAGTGAAGCAGATGTGATGTAATGTTGCTTTCCAGGTTGAAAAACTCCTACCTAGAGAATTTCCTGAGCATAAGGTAAGGTAATATTCAAATGTGATAGGAATCACTAATTATTTGCCCTGGTGTTCTGTAGATATTCCACCTTTAGCTGCAAAAGCATGTCTAGGAATCCTCAGGCTTTCAGAGTAAAATGGAGCTGGCTTAAGACTCAGCATAATTAAAAAAAAACCCACAAAATGCTCCATGCTTTCTTCTTGGGTGTGCACACACTTCCCTCTCCTCAACCCAGAAAAACTGGGCTTTTACTGGAGGGTCTTTATTATACTTACATGTGGTTTGGAACATTCACGTTCAGTTACTTGTGGTTACTGAAGTTAGATGGTCAAAGGATGGATTTGTGAGCTTTATTTCAGACCCAGCAGGAATACAGTGAGAAGAGTTATTCCTATGAAATTTTAACTAAAATACGGTAGAATTGTGTCAGAGGCCAATCTTTTGCAAATTCCAGTGTGGTGTGTTAGACTTTTGAGCTTTTTATTGATTCTGAATCCAAAACTGAGCTTTGGCTAACCTTTATTCTGGTAGACATAACAGAATTAACAGAAGCGTTGTTACATATCTGAGATAAGCATAATAACATTTCTGTATTTTTAGATTTGTCTCAAAAAGGTTTTGTACATGTAGGAGTTGAAAACATTAAGGAATCATGAAGCTCTTAATTAGCCATCAGTATTCTTCTCACTCATCATAGTAAGTGCCAGAGAAGGATGTTCTGTAAGAGAGAGAAGTTTGTCTGTGAGAACAGGATTTCATAGTAGGACAGCAATGACCACTCACAAATGGAGTTCAAAACATTCTTTAAGGTCCATGTCATGAGAATACTTTGGGAAGGAGGCTCAGCCTCACAGCAGAATTGGATTTTCTTATTGGTTTGGGTTTTTTTCTTCTTGAGGAACAACAGACCTGTAGTCCTCACATCTGTAATTTGGCCACAGCAGATATGACCTATGTAAATGGTGGACAGTCCTGACTTATATTACAAAGGCACCTTTAGAAAAATCTATAAGAGATGGAGTGAACAGGACTGTGTAAACTCTGTGAATCTGTTATATTTTCCCTTCAATGTGAAGGCACTGCTTTGTCCATTTATCAGTTCATTTATCAGTGACTCTCCAGAGGTCACACAGTGTCTGCTGTAGTATGTCCCACGTAATAGTTAGATCTTCACCAGTTCTGTAATAAATATAAATAATAATGCTAATGCAGTGAGGCACAGAATTGTGTGGAGAGCATTTGCAGAGTGCAGGTTTGCTTGAAGTGCAGAGCATGTTCTGAAATGCCCTGTGTGGCACAGGCTGTTGTGTCATTGTTGTGTCAGTCCCACCAACAAAGTGGATCTTTGTGGAGATGAGTTTCGTTGAAAAGGAAAGAGGTTTTTTTCTAAGTTTTACTAATCAGCACATATTAGTAGGCTTAATATTTCTGTTGCTTCCTGCAATTAATGACAGTGTTTATGTAACTCAGTAATTAAATCTGGAGCATCCGATTGTCTTTTGGCACTTAACATTAATTTTGGTGGGGCTAAGTCACTTGAGACTGTACATATGTGATCATAAATCAGCCAGAGAGAGAAGTTTATGCCTCTGTGATCCAATTATTTTTAGGTAATCCATGATGCATTTTTTTTCTCTCTTCCCTGTCAGTATCCAAATCCACAATAAAATAGAGATTTGGATTCTCCCCTTCTGCTGGTTCTAACAGGAAAATTATCTCCAGTGAGTAATAAATATTTCATGTTTGAAATACTTGCTCACCATTCCACCTTTTTCCTAGAACAGGTGGCCATATAATCCATTCTTGCTAAAGACACTTCTGCATGTAAAATATAACATATACAGTGTTGCATGCTAAAGAACCATTCAACTCTAACTGAAATGATGAGAAACTTTATGGAACTACTCTGGACAAATTTGTATTTAGTCTGAATCAGACTCCTTCCTCTGAGAAGGTTGTATCCTTCTCAGAAGGATGTGTGTAGAAATGTAATGCTGATGTGTGTAGAAATCAGCATTATTGTGTACATGCTTGACAAATGTGAGAACATGCCTGAGTGCAGCTTTCTGAACACCTTTTATTCATAGATTTCCCACATATATCTAAGGGCTCCACTACTTTTTGTTATTATTTTCACAACAGAATACTTTTATTTAATTGTTGCACTCAAACTTCATTTTATTTCATTATAAAGAGGCACAGTTCAAGATAAGAAACAGCAGGTTGCCAACTTCTGAAAGGTTTTTTTTTTAATTATTTTTATCTACAGAACTTAAAATTACTCCTGTGGTAATTTTCAAATATAGTTTGGGAATAGCTTGTCAAAAATTATTTATTCATCTAATGATAGATGTGAATATCTTCTGGGATTTTACAAAGTGCCTGAGCAAGTTGGAACTAATGAAGTTTAAGCATCTAATATGTTTAGCTTATCTTAAAAATCCTGTGAGATGCTAATATAAAACGTTTTAGACCCAACCACGTTTTCAAAAGTGCCTTAGAGACACTTAATTGATTAAATTAGAAATAAACCACCCACCCTAGTAGTTAAAACCCTGAGTATTAATATGCAGAGAAGTATTGTTGCATTTGAGAAGATTTAAGATTGGAAAAGAAACAAGGCTTGTAGGGAGAAGTGGTTAATACCACTGAAAACCAGAACACTTTTCCAGCCCTTTCCTTATACCTCTGTGGTGTGTCTGACAGCCTGTTTGCCTTTTCCAGTGCTATCAACTAATATTAAAATGTATTGCTGCCCTGAGAAAAGCTTGCACTTCAACATGAATATCAACCTGTTAGTTATTAAACCAGGAGAGGGTAAAAAATGTCCCCTCCTTTGTACTTAAAGAAAAAGCTCTAAAGCCTGAGAAAACATAACAGGAGTTCACCTGGGGATGGTGTGCAGTGACAATAACAGTACACACCTCTTTCACAAGTGCTACAACTTCCAAGAACCAACTTTTCTGTTTGAAATAGAAATCAGAAGAACCTCCAAGTAGCACAGTAGCTACCAAGCCTCAATTATTATTCTCTAGAGACAGAAACTGCAGCTCTTCACTATTCATGATAAAGGCAGCCAAAGCCCCTTGGGTTTTGTGGAATGCTGTTGGATATCCTCAAGCAACCCTGTGTCTGGAGACGGTTTATCAATCCAAGCAGCACTATGTGCTGTACTTTGCTGCTGGGTTTAAACTCCTGTGTGTTCAGGCCAAACTGGCATTTGTATGACATAAATACTCTGAAATTCCAGGTCAATGTTCTCCCAGTGTTGGTTAAGCAGACCAAAGCCAAAAGAGTTCAAATGGAGTGCAACTCCACCTTATTCTAATCAAAGCCACAGTGATGGACATGACATCTGGACTCAAGACCATACCAGCATTTCCATTTCCTTCCTGTTTTTGTAAGCCAAATGTGAGTGTCTGCTATGACTTTGCAGAAAAATCCAAGGGACTGCCTCTGCATAAGGCAGTGAGATGCCATGATGCTGTAAACCATCTCTTGAGAGCCCTGTATTTCTGCTTTAAGCCGGGGACAGAGAGTTAGTTCCTGATTAAGCTGCGTCATTCGAATAACAAAAGTTAGGCTGAAGTCACTCGTGTTTACTTTCAACTTGAATGGAAATGCAAGAGGCTCATTTGGTGAAGGAATGGGAAGACACGTCCTGAGCTGGCTCTGTAAGAGTATTTTAGGTCTTCTTACAGGATCTAATAACTACTTGTATCCTTTGTTTGCATTTGCCTTGTCTCTTCAGATTCTGCTCACTCTGGATGAATGGTCCGTTTGTACCTGGTCCATTTGTACCAGATTTTGAATATTTTGTCTTATAGTCTTGAAGGAGAGTTTACCAGTAATGTCATCTCATCTCAATAAATTGCATGTGCTTTGCTACATTTTTGCCTTCTGTTCCTTTGCTTTTGAAGGCTTAGCTGGAGAGAGAGCTGCCAAAATTGCAACTGTGCAGTACTTCCTGGCCTGGCAGGTTTCACATTTCTCCCTCACTGACAATGCCATGAATTACTGAATGATAATGTGGTTGTTGCTTTTTAAGCCTTTCCCACACCTGTCTTTGTTCGTCTGCAGAGATTTCATGTTCTCTCTTGAAAGACTAAAACTGAAGCATTTCCAAAATAGTGGGAGGAAAACATGCCCACAAAAACTCCTTTATTTGATACTGGTAAAGTACAGGACAATTAAAAGCAGCATTTATTGGAATTGATCAAAGCCCTTTCCACAAGGGAAAAGAAATATTGTACGTATATGCAGTCCAGAGCTCAGGTTAGGCCTGAATTAGCCTAAAAGGTTCTGTAAGCTCAAAATCTGGTGATTTAGGCATCACCCCCACTCTCCCACAGAGAAGACTCTTTCAAAACCATACACTTCAATCCTAGAGTTGAAGCACCAGAGCTCTGTGACGTGTATCTGTCTCCTCAGGATATACAGATATACTTGGATGCATAAATATTTTCCCAGACATGAATATTTTTTCCACCTTAGGAACCTAGTGAGAAAGAACATTGTGACTTGTCATTTGAATGCCAAAGTTCCAAGTTGATTTACTACAGACAGTTACAAAATGAGAAGGAGTTGAGGCCATGTCTGTTCTCTATTGCTCCATTGCTGCATTGGGTGACCAAAAGAAACCACTGATAACAGCAACACACATCTATAATTCTCCAGAGTGCCTTCTGAGGGAGCAAGTGCCTGCTGAGGAGAGCTCTGCACCTCAAAATATATGGTAGTAATTAAATTACTGCTAATTAAGTTTAGTAATCCAAAGGCTCAAACACTAATGAGCTAAAACAGAAAATATGAAAAGAACAGAAATACCTTTCCTGTAACTTTTTATGGTTTCCATCTCATAATTGCCCAACCTGCACTGAGAATTGCTTGCTGTCACATGTCCCATCTCATTTCAATTTGTTATTCTTGGATTTCTTTTCCTTTGGGGTAATTTTGTTTGTAGTTGCTGTTTGCTTACAGGATTGGAAATAAAAAAAATGCACTGCCTGTCATAAAACAGT